AAGCAAAGGGAGGAGCTGATGCATAACTGGTGAGAATGCCTGAATACCAATAAAGACAGGGCAAAACCAAGAGGGTAGTAGCCCTCAAGGGTGGCGTTGACCACTGTCTTTAGAACTCTTTGAACAACCCTTTAATTTTCAGTTGTGTTTTACATCTCCTGTGTTGTTTCCCTTGCCCTTTATCATTCTCATCCTCGAGGCTTTACATTAGTGGATTTGCTTTTGCTTTTTATCTACTCCATCTATTTCATTTCTTTTATGTTATTGTGCTAGTTACAAGTACTAGCAGTCATGGTAGTAGATGCTACCAAAGAATATATAGGTTTCAAAACCATAGGATGATATGCCTTCTCTTCCATTCCATTCTCTTGGGTGAAGTGAAAGGAGAAGCAGATACAAATCATGGAGTCGTGTAAAAAACTGAGGGGCCAAAAGCTAGTTTGGATTCTCTCCTAGGGAAGTGCTTCCATGCATGACCATGACCAAACCCCAAAGGAAGTGATCACTTGATAGCCCCTAACATGCTTTGATTCTCTGCTTTTACACAACCAAGAAGAAACAGCTCGAGCCTTTTGCTTTTATGGTAACAAGTGTACTCAGATTAGAATTAAGACTTGTAACAGAGCACAAAATAATCTTCAGCAACAACCCTATGTTCTACCAAGTGCTTTTTGACTGGTGGGACCAACAAGACCTTCAAAATATGCAGATTTCAATGGAAAGGTTTGGGCATGAACTGATAAATTATCAAGTTGAAACTGAAGATTAATCTGTATTTGTAGTAGGATTGGATCTAATTTTTTATAGATATACTGAAGCAGAAGTTGATGGCAAATGATCCTTCACAAAATTGTATTCCAACACCTAGATAAACAAAAGTAATTTGGTATGTTTATGATAATAGCACATATATCTTCCAACTGTTAGTTTATTTCTTACTAGATATCCAAGTATATGTGTACATAGAAATATGTATCGTCTTTGCACAACATCAGCCCGTGCCCCATGATTTGCATCCAGCCACTACCTAGATTGGAGCCAGCATACTAGTCAAACCTTCACAAATAATCCACTGCTGTCCCAAGGCATGAAATTTCTGAACTTAAACCCCACTTTTTGCAAGGATTGGTTTAAGTACGCTCTCCTTCCTAGAAAATGAATCATTAGGTGCACTTGCATGCTACATCTTTGTATCTAGGATTCCAAAGACCATGGTACAATTTTGCAGAGCACCCTCTTTCTGGTTTGTACTCCCTCACTGACATGAATCCAAACAATTAACATATATTGTTTGTTTCGTTCCCTTTTGAGCTGCCTGCCTGACTGAACCACAAAGCAACGAGGCGGCACACGAGTGGGCCACAACGGGGGCACTGCCTAATGGTGCATGAACTTTAATTATATTGTTACAGATTGTATGCACAAGCCATCGAGTGCAATAGATTCCATGGCATGTATGGTGTGTTCATGCATCATGCAGCACACTTGCAATCCTGTAGTTTCTTCATGACGTAATCGGTCCTCGACGAGGATAAAGTCAGTCAGTCAGCCAGTTTAGCTGACCAGCTTTCTTGTGTAGTCTCGATGCAGATTCAGTGATGGGGTATCATAGAGGTGCACATAAAGATCTCTATTCCACAGTGGCCCATCAGGGACATCAAAGCAAATGCTGTATGAAGTTTTCATTGGATAGATAAGAACAGAACGGTGCGCAGCATGATAGCACAACTCAACTGAATGACTGATGCAATGGGACCATAATAATGGTCCCATCTAGCGTAGGATTTCATCCGAGGGGCCAAACATGGCAGCAGCAAATAGAAAATAGTAAGATCAAACAGTCAAATACAGACCTATAGCATACTTTCAGATAACACCATAAACAGGCAGGCCATCACGCTCACACAACTGTCACTGAAACAATGACCCATTTCCAGGAAGACAAACGGCACTACTGAAATCTTCAGATTTACACCCAAACGGAGAAATCACCCATACTCCGAGTGGCGACAAAGATTGCATCAAAGCAGCGAACCAAGCACCACCCTGCCCCCACGGCTCACGGCGGCTTTTGCCGCCGATTCTCTCCTCGTATCAGATGCCATAGACATAGCTGTCGACTAATCAGCGGCCGCACGAATCTCAAGGACACTGGACACGCGCCCTCAACCCCGGTGCCCGGTCCCAAAAACCTTTACCGCGCGCAAACGAGGATACCAACGGGAGAGCGAGAGCACGAGAGAGATTGCAGCCAAACCAACGGGCCGGAATTCGCAACGTTTTGCATCCAAATCCCTACAGATCGATCCAACCCTAATGGGGAAAAAAATAACAAAAAAAATCAAGCAAAAACAACCGATCGCGTGATGCCGTCAAAAGCAACAAATCCAACGGACCCAACCACGACGATGATACGAACAAGGGAAGGAGACGGACGTGTGTACCTGACCCCCGATCCTCCTCGGCTCCTCGCGACTGGCAGACGGCGGCGCGTGGGGAGAGAGAGACGAAGCGATCTCGTCAGGATCGACGCCGGAAGAACACAAACCAAACGAAACGTGAGGGGATTGAGGAGAGGGATCCGAAAACCTACCTCGCCTCGCGCCCTCGTCGCCGCAAGAACAAAACAAAAGTTTTTTTTTTTTTTTGCGTGCGCGTGCGTATTTGTTCGCCTGATCGGTGGGAGAGGAAGGGACGCGAGGCACCGACGTCGAGGCGGGTCAAAGGGCAAGCGTCCACCGGTCCCACGCGTCGGTGGCCGCGGGAAACCGCGCGCCGCGCCGTGGCTTTCGTGGCAGCCAAGTGTCCAGTCGGTGACGTGATATGTGACTCACTGACATGTGGGCCGCCGATTTGTTAGGCCCACACGGAAAGGGGTGCACCGTGCACCGTGCACGTGCTTGGGCAGGAGCGTTTGGATGATAATCAGCCGTCCATGAGCCTTGAGGACACGAGGTCTGAGGGGAGTCGCAATGAAAAAAAATCAGTAATTTCTATAACATAGGTATCGTATTAAAAAAAGTACTGCTTTTGAACTGATGGTTTTTATGGGTAATAATTATTTTCTCTTTCTCTCTTCTAACTTTATCTTCTTTCTCTAATGGGTGTGCAGCATGAGCCTCCTAAAAACTGATGGTTTCTCCCCAATAACGATTTCATGGTTTCTTGGTGTATTGGGTCAAGAGAAGACCTGATTTCTTCATGAGGAAACCATTTCTATGATTTTTGCTCTCTTTCTTCATTAATTACATTGTCATGTTAGCGTTTTGCCTACGTGACAAGTCATTTAATGAGGATAGAAACCATCATTAATACACCATTGAGACTGCCCTGAGTCGCTGTTGAAGAAAAATGGACTTAGAGCCTTTTGGCAGGACTCCTGCAGAGGCTTCAGCTTCGGCATCTGCATAAGCTGTGCCAAACGTCTGTTTTGTAAAGGGCTCCATATGGGGAGCCGGTCAAAAGCCGGAGCCATTTTTTGCCTATGCAGGAGAAGCTAAAAAACGAGCTTCGCGCGGCTCCTTGCTGTGGGTTCACGTCGTCTAGTGCGAAGGAGCCGTTTTGCCAAACGTTTTCTAGAACGGCTTCAGCTCCTCCAGAGGAGCCAAAGCCAGAGTTATTTTCAGAGGAGGCAGAGCCCTGCCAAATAGGCTCTTATTTGGTCCAGTTTGCTTCGCTTAAAAGACAGGCCGTAAAGTATTGTTGGCTGATTTATTATGAGAGAAAAATATTATATCATGACTAAAAAGACGGGCTGATAAGTTCAAGTGAAAGCAACGGATTTTGTGAACACGTAACGCTAGCCTCAAGTTTTGAGTAAACATGATTTTCGTGAAACTCTACTACCCATCAGTCCTAGTCCAGTAGTTAGGCAATACTCATCCTGTTCGTTTGTTGGTTTGCAGTCAGGCTTATTCAACCAGTCAACAGTGTTTTTTTCACAAAAAATCAGCACCAGCCAGCCTAAATCAGCACCAGCACCAACCAGCGAACACGCTGACTGATAGATGTGGTTGATGTTATTATATTTATTTTTAATTTTTTTACTCGGATTTGAATACGGATTGTATCAACTATGTCGGATATGACACGAATAGATATCGATATCATAAATGTGCTATTTAAGTAATCGAATATGGATACGGTATCGAATATTGAATATCCAGACTCAGATACGGATAGATATGAACTCCTATAAACGAATTCGGATCTGAATACGGTAGAAAAATATTCGTACCATTTGCACTCATTATTAGTCGATTGACACTTTGACACCATATATAAAAAAGTTATTAGGCGCCTTGATTTGCAAAACCTTCTGTGTATAGCCTTGAGGTTTATGAAAAAAACTTTATCTCTACTATAATGGACCAATTAAAATTATACTAGGTCCCTTAGAAAAAAGTCTTTCGCTAAGAGCCTCCAACCATTATGCATCCAGAAAAATACATACAGTAATTCATCTGCATTAAAATCAAAGGCTAATAAGACACCTAAACCCGATGCCACGATTAGATATGGGATGCGAGCTTCTCACCCCCCGCGTCCTCCTCGCATGCCGTAACTGCGATTTAACGCTCAAAGCCAATCATCACCGAATAAAAAAAAGCGTTCAAAACCTTCCGGGCCGCCGTCGCTCCGTTCGACGTTGAAACATTCCGATCGCCCGCGCCCTCCCCTGTAGTTGTGTCTCCTCCTCTTCTGCCATTGGTGTGTGCCCCTTCTCTCTCTCTGATCTAATCCAACACGTGGATGAGGGTGGCGGCGGCGGAGGCGGGGTTCGGGGAGCCGAGGGTGGCGGCGATCGTCCTGGCGGACGTGGCCAAGGCAGACTTCCCCGCCATCACGTCAACGCCGCCTTCGAGGCGTCCCCCCTCCCCCGCGGGTGACGCGCACCGACGCGGCGGGGCTCGACGGTGGCCGCCACCGGCGAGGCGGCGCATCGGCCCGTAGGCCGGCGCCCACGGACACCACATGACCGAGGCGGACCTGCGCTCGACATGTTCCGCGAGGTCACCGCCGTCGACGAGGTCACCGTCATCAAGGACAGGACCACCAATGTCTCCCGAGGTGCGGATCTGCCTAGGCCCCGGATCTAGGCTCGCAACCCTCCCTCCCCTGCGGCCACTCTCGCTCGATTTGCCACAATGCCTGCCGCGCAGTTCCCTCGCTCGCGCCGTGAGCTCGACTTCTTGCTCCCGTGGACGGAGGCGCAGGCGCAGCAGATGCGGCAACCTTGAGGCCATTGAATGCAGAGGATGCGCAGGCGCAGCAGTTGCAGCTACCTTGAGGTCGTTGAATGCAGAGGCGGAGGATGTCCATAGGAGCATCTGTGGAGGACTCTGAGTTAAGTGTCGACTGACCCAGGCGGCGTCGGTAGCAGGTAGAGACCATCACTGGAAGCTCCAGATTTTTAATTCATTTATTCTGTTTCAACTAATTTTCTTCCGTCCCAAATTGTACCATTGTTCTACTTGATTTTTGCATTGTTCCATAGGCTTTGTGTTGCCGGTTCCACTATAGATATGAACTGTTCCCCTTTCTTGACTAAAATTGCCCCATCCAATCATGATGCTTCTCCAATTTGAAGTGTGGACAGGCTATGCCCTGCCTAGGAGGAGACAACAGAGTGAGAACAAACACACACTTGATCCGTTCCGAGCGCCGGAGTACAAACTACACTGATGCTTATGTGTTCTATACATGGAGACATCCATGCTCCTAAGGTGTTTGATGGATTGCCGGCACCAGGAAGCCAGTAATGGAAGTATCACAACCACATAACTGTTGTTGTGAGTTTGAGAAGAGTGCTCTCATCACGATAGGCTAGCAGATATTCTCTGAACCTGGAACTCCTAATGCAGAATTGGGGTACTCCTAGAGGTACCTTCAATTCCCAGTGCTATTTTCTTACTTATATATTATCCCTGTTAGTTAGGCCATGAAGTGAATTTGTGGGATATCACATCTTGTAGTAGGACATGGTCTGCTAAATCTGTAAGCACTCATTGACTTATTTAATTTCTCTCTGGTACTAATATAGAAGAAACCTTCATCATTTATTAAATGGTTTTCTTTCTTTGTTTCATCTGAAGCTCCGAGCAAATAGCCTGGTATATTCACTTGACCTTGGTTCACTGCTGGAACCTTCTTGTGCAAGGATGACCATCGTGAAATTATGGGCTGCACAAATAATCTTCAGGTAATGTGAACTGATTCCTGTATCTCTTGCTATGGCAAGAAAAAACTCCCAACAGATTGAACATATTTTTTATCAAAAATAAATCATCATGTGCCTGAACTGTAAGGATGCTAATTTCTGCTTCTAAGATCATGTGTGTTGGTGAGAATGCACGGTATTTTTCAAATTGTGTATCTAATATGCCAGGCTAGAACTTGACCTTACTTTGTTACATTGCTGGTAGGTATGATAACATATCACATCAAATGGAGTATGATTGCATGAGCTGGCAATATTTGAAAATATCAAAGGATATGGAACTGTTAGAACGTGAGACAGATCTGTGCAGAGAATGTGGTCAAGGGGTAGATATCTTCCGTGCAAAGTCTATCCAAGGTCATTTCATCATCCAGGTTGTTTTGCAAGCCCTTGGGATTAATTACAAGCCTTGGAATGTTCTTTTTTCTTATTTGTTCGTGAAGTGGAATTTTGATTGTCAAGTGTGGAGTAAAATCTAAAGCACCATCGAGGTTACCTGTCAGTCAGGCTACACATGTAAATTCTCTATGTTTGCCAAACTATTTTTGTTGTTTGTAAAAAAATGGAAGCTTGTGTATGGATCCACAATATTCTGATATCATTTTTGTCATGCAAGTAATCTTTATTTGATATCAGGTTGTCAAAGGAATCATGTTTTTTTATTCTATCTAATATTATAATATGTGATCGATGATTTTTCAAAATCACCAAAGCATATACACCATTTTAGTTGTTTAATTATGCTACCCTAAATGTTACCGTAGCGTTAACATGGGTAATATACTAGTGACTATAATGAACTCATGTTTCAATGCTATGATCGTAAATGAGTGCCTTTTTATTATGTGAAGAATCCGGTTTCGATTTTCTTCAAAATCACTAAACACTATCAAACGGTCAAATATGGAGTGATTTTACTTTTTTTACACTAGACTAGAATCACACGGGATAGTTCCTCCTTGTTATGATTCTTGCTTTCCGATCTCCTCTCAAGTGAAAATGTTTAAAAATTGGCTGCCTTTGAATTGTTCTTTAGCCAGTAGAAAACAATTTATCTCTTGAAACCTATATATATTTATGATTTTCTTCACGTAGAAAACAATTAATTTCACCCTCCTTTCAAAAATCAGAATCGTGCTGGCTAGCAGAAAGATTTGAGAAATCGATTTCGAAGCCCAAACTTCCGGTTGTTTCTGCGCCCAAATGGAAAAGGGTACCCAATGGAAAATGGAGTGGAAGCACGATTCTGCCAGAAATGGGAGTACCATTCCGATGAGCAGCGTGCACAAGAAAATTTGTTATTTCCCATTCAATGTTAAAGTGGTTTTCTATTTGCAATTAAAGAACTTCTCATTACTTATTTGCCATTGACTCAAACTTTCAATCCCTTGCAATGTCTATTCCATTAACTTCTGTTAGGGAATGCCAGACTTTTTCATAATGACTATATTGCCCTTACCAACCCATCTTACAAACTTCAGTAGTCTCTTACGGTCCTGTTCGCTTGGAGGAATCTGATGAAATTTGTGAGAGAAAATCAGCTGCGAACAGTAACTTTCAACCATAAACAGTAAAATTTTTGCACCATCCGAACGGGACCTAAACCTCAATGTGACCATGTTCGCTTGTTGGTTTCAGCCAGGCTTATTCAACCAGCCAACAGTGTTTTCCTCTCACAACAAACCAGCCCAAATCAGCCCAGAAACCTTGTCAGAAACAAACCTCAATGAAGTAGTACTACTTTATAAAATATAAATTTTATATTTACAGATTAATTCATTAATGTATTTTTCTTTGGTAAAAATGTCTTGTAGACGAGATTCTACCTTTTATATCTGACAATATCTCCATAGAAACTATCAATCATGATAAGAAGGAAAATATAGAGCAACACAACAACACATGAGAAATGGCATGTAAGGGATGAAGGTTTGAGTCGGTGGCAAATAAGGAAGGAGAGGTTTTTCAGTGGCAAATAAGGAGAAAAAGTTTCTTAGTGACAAATAAGGAACCGCTTGAACTTGTAATGACAAATAAAGAATTTTCTCCATTAGTACAGGGACGCCAGAAAGTGCAAATAACGCATACCGCATACTATGAAGTCGAAGAGAAAACAAATGATCCACATGTTATCAGTGAACTGCCTGCAAAAATACAGTTTCCATTGTGCAACTTGTACACTTTTTTTTTATTAAAAAAGTTAAGATACATAGGGTTGAAGCTGTGGTTGCACTGCACAAACCATGTCGCAACAAATTCACCTTTTGCGTAGTACTCACTTCGACCAAAATATAATGCAATTCTCACTTTCGACAGTCAAACAATTTAAATTTGACCAAACTTATACAAAAGATGGCTAACATTTATGATATCAAATAGGTATCATTAGTTTGTTAAACTTAAGAAAGTTTGACTTGGTTCAAATCTAGAATTACATTTTTTTTTTTGGATGTAGTAGTTAGTACACAACTTCATGTCTTCATGGTGAACATTGTTGTTCTCAGACATTCCAAGAACCCCGGCTGGGGTGCAACCGTGCAGTTGCCCTTTGGGGCACATCTGCTTTTTATATAAAAAAACGTACAGATCATGATTAGAGACCTCCCAAAGGAGGACACAGATATCTAAAATGATAATTGCAGGGGGCAAAAATATCATGTTATTATGCAGGCCAAGTTTATCAGTCAATGCTAACAGAATCTGATAACTAAATTGAAGATAAGATTTCACCAGGGCTATTCTGCACTCCTGTTTTTTATAGTAGGAAGGAAGGAATAGATGGATGGATAACATTTCTCATAGCTTGATCAAATAAACACTTGCATAGATGAAAACAGTCACAAGTTTCAGCTGGACATAATGCAATTGGGTGACTGATAACATAGGCAATATATTCATTTGTTGGCAGGTCACTGACACCTAACGAAAGGCTTATCTTATTACCAGAAGTTTAATTTTGTACCCACAGTACCTTTTGATTGTTATATCGTTTCATTGTACCTCTTTTGACTGTATTTGTTTTTAAAAAAATATTATTGAGATAGTTAAAGTTCCTCCACATAAGATAATTTGATATATAATGATGGGATCACAGGCTAATGATAGAGCTATAGTGCAAAAGATATTGTTGGTCATCACAAATCATCTCTATAAAGTGTCACACTACCAGTAACTAAGTTCAAGAGAATGGAAACAGTCAAATAGTGTATTGAAGGAACATCCAGTGATGTGAGCATATACTTTTGTACTTTAACTATATGACTGTTTCATTCAATAATAGAGTCACTATTCAGGAAAAGAAACTGCTGGAATATGTAAATAGAGCATACTTGAGCTGAATCATAACCAACAGAACTAACAATGGAGTCATACTACCATTCGATTGAAAATGCGTTAATCTACAACAGTGAACCATGGTTAGTGGCATCTTTAAGGTAAGCAATTACAGCAACACCACATAACACACCACCTTTACCAATTTGAACCTGAAGGTTGATGTGCATTCGACCACAAATATACAACAGACGTAAAATGCTCACCAGCAGCAGGTTCCTGAAAAGGAAAATGTAGTTATAGCTTTGGGTTGAACATAGCAAGCATGCTACAAACCTATAAAGAAATAACAAAGATTATTTTCACCAGATGTGAACAACAAAAACTTATTTCACCACAGCAAGAGAGCAACATGCCTTCCCCATGGTATCGAATTATATGAATACTTTTTAAATGATTTTTTAGATTGCAGAAGGAGAGCTAGACTGGGAGCCTTCTAAATCTGAAGCGTGTAGACAGACCCTCTTACCCATGATAGTGTGAAAAAACGTTGTGAGTTCTTTAAGTATCAGTGTGGAGCGCTTTCAGTGCCCACCATCCAAAACCAAGCATTGATCGTTCTTTTGAGAGTGCTGTCAACTGTTGATTAAGTGTTGTTGCAACTACATGGGACAAGAGTCACTGGGTGTGGACTGTGGAGTCCTTGTTGGATTTACCATATACAAAAGCAGTTAGCACCAACAAGAACAGAGGCAACTAGGACTCCTTCCATAATCCAAGTGTTCAAAGGCAAGTATGCATAGAACTTGGTACTGCAGGCAAGTGATGTTGCTGTTATCATGCTTGTGCAATAGTGTTGTTGTTCCTTATAACCGATATACATCCACTGTTAAAATTGACTATGGTGAGATAGTCCTTTTTAATTTTTATCTCACGCTTGCTAGTTTGCAGAGAAAGAACATGTTTTTTAGCATCCAGGGCATAAATCATTAGATATTTATGGAGTGTTTGGTTTAGGGAATCAACCCATTCTAGATAGGTTGATGCATCATGAGTTCATTCCTCAAATTTAGTGAAATGAAATGACTTTGTTAGCTTGTTAGGAATGAGATGGTAGGTGATGGATCAATTGATTCCATTCCACAGACCAAATCAAAAAATTAAAGAGTGAGATGATGACAGACTACTTCGTTCCACATGTGATCTGCAATATCTTGCACGAAGCAGCTCAAAGCAGGAATTGTTAAGGCTATAAGTTTGCTTACATCAGTCACTTTCGTCTCCTTCGTTGCCTCCGTCTAACCGACGGAGCCCGTCAAGCGCAGCGCCAAGCTTTGGGTCGATGGATGCGGCGGTCTTGAAGGCTTCCCGAGCTTCGGCGGCGAGCCCCTTATTCTCGTAGCACTCGCCCAGAAGGGCATGGGCGCGGGCGTTCTCGGGACTCAGGCGGACGGCCTCCGCGAGATCGGCAGCGGCCAGGTCGAGGCGGCGGCGGCGGTGGAGCGCGAGCGCGATCTCGGCGCGCTTGGCCAGCGCGTCCCCTCGCTCGCGCGGCTCGAGCGAGCGGGCGAGCGGCGGCGCGAGGGCGGCGTCGAGGGCGCGCAGCGCGGGGGGGCGGTGGCCCTGGAGGTCGAGGGCGAGGGCCTTGAGGATGAGCGGGGCGGCGTCGCGGGGGTCGAGGGCGATGGCGCGGTCGGCCTCGGCGACGGCCGCGCGGGCGAGCGGGCCGGGGGCCTTGGGGGCCGCGGCGCGCGCGCGGGCGAGGAGCTGGGCGCCCTGCGCGAAGTGCCGGCGCGACTGGGCGGACGAGCCGGCGCCGGCGCCGGAGCGGCGCAGCCGGAGGGCGGCGCGGCGGGGGAGGGAGTGGAGCGCGACGAGCATGCCGGCGGCGAGGAGGAAGAGGAGGCACTGGATGACGGCCTCTGGCCAGGTGCCGGCCGCGCCCAGTGCTAGGGAGGACATGGTGCGCCTTGGGTTGGACTGCGCGTCGGGGTCAGGCAGTACTACTAGCAGACTGCAGAGATTCGTCGTGCGGTCCGATCTAGGCCTCGTTTAGATTGCCAAGTTTATTCTCTCTGTCCGTCACATTAAATCTTTGATACATAAATAGAGTATTAAATATAAATAAAAAATAATTAATTATATAGTTTAATTATAAATTATGAGACGAATTTTTTAAATCTAGTTAAATCATAATTAAACAATAATTATTAAATATAAACAAAAATACTATAATGCCAAATACTAATTCCTAACTCTAATCTAAACCAGACCCTCGGCGGACATGGCTCGGGCAGGTCTCTGTAGTCGTACTGGACTCATCCGGATTCCGGCTCAGGCTTTGCTTGCCTTCGTGCAGCGGCCGGTTGAACCGACGTGCGTGTGCCTGAATGCCTGACTTTAGGGTGTTTGGAAGTTTTTTTTTTCCAAAAATACTATATAATACACGTGTGTTTTAGAAAAAAAAACACATAAATTTTTTCTTCTCTTTTTTCACCGGCTCCGTCCTGTCGGAGCTGCCTCGGGCGCGTACAAGGTGATCCATGTCGCCACGCCGTCCTGTGCAGTGACGGCACAGTGCAGTGAACTTGTCCTCGCGCGGCACAGTGCAGTCATGTCGCCACGCCGTCCTGTGCAGTGAACTTGATCATGTCCTCACGCGGCACAGTGCTGTGACGGATCCGGCTTCAGCTTCCGTATCTCCTTCTCTGGGATTTGTAATTTGTCTTTTTTATAGAAAAATATTATTTCATGTGATCGGTGGATCTGTGATATTATGATTTGTGATTCTCTGGAGATAGAAGAAAGTTAGAGATAGAAAAAAGTTGGAGGCTGTTGGATCTTAATTTTTTTGTGAAAAAAATTCATGTGTTGAAACTGTATAAAACACATAGTTGTTGGGTAGACAGCTTTTTTTTTTCTCCTGGAGTGTGTTTCGAAGACTTGGATAGCCATGTCGAGCTATTGTCTAATGCATTGACACCCCCTTAACCTTGCTTAGGAAAACATGGAGCGCGGCTGTTTTCGACAAGCCGGGCTTGTGCTGGTAGTCGTCGGCCATCCAGAAATAAATATCGTGTCGCCTTCCTTAGCCCTTATTGTTTACGGCAGCAGAAAAGAGGTTAAAAGAGGAACATAGAGTTTACGGCAGCAGAAAAGAGATCAAAAGAGTTGGGCCCGTTCGCGGATCTTTAAACCAGGTTTGATTCACTTCTTTTTTTATTTGGAATAATATTTTTCTCTCACAAATTTCTTCAGATTCCTCCAAATTTCTTCAAACGAATGGGGCCTAGACGTGCAGGACGAAGAATGTGACGTGGTTAGTGTTCTCGGTAACTCGTCGTCGATGTACAAGGCCATCCTATCACCAACAATAGGCAACGGTCCCGGTCGCGTGCCCTTAAACCCGGCTTAATCCACTTCTTTTTTTTATCCGAAACAGTGTTTTCCTCTTACAAATTCGTCCAGATTCATCCAAATTCCTCCAAATTCCTCCAAGCGAACGGGACCAACGAAACAGCAAATTTGCAGCATAGGCTTAGCTTATACATGTAAACCAAACAACCACTTATTGCATTACTCAAACGGTCGAACCAGGCTTGCGTTGGCTTAAAATTAAAGCATGGCCAGCCTAGCATGAACAACCAAACAGACTCATGTCCCTTCAATTTTACACGGAAGAATTAAATTTCTATTTTTTATAAGAAAAGCTTCGCACATGGTGTGCTATAACATGCTAATAATTAACTGACTAAAGTTAGTCTAAACTGGTCTCTTTTCATAAGCTAATATGCAAATGGCTAGAATATATATATAGGAAAAAATAGTCTTGTTATTGGCCCATCCAGAAGACGTGATTGACGTTGATTAAGAAAACTTTGTATAAATGTAAGAGTATATTCATAAATATAGTGTTGCTATTAAAATTTTCTAAATTCGGTCAACCATAGCAACATGTGTGTGTGTATTCCTTCAAAATAGCAACATGTGTACTTTGAGACCTACCTAGTTTTGAGCTTAGTGTGTAACTATTAAATAGAAGAAGCTCTAATAAGGATTTATTTGATAGAGCTTCTAAATTAGGTTCTATGTTGAACTCAAAAGGAGCGGTACTTTTTGTATTGAGAAGTGATTCTATGCTAATTCTCTTGATTTATTCTCTAAAATGAAGTAAGAGACGGGAGCTGAAAATGTAGATTCTCTTGGTGATCTTGTCTCATGTTGGTCCGGAGCTGGATATAGTCCATCTTTGACAGTAACACTTGAAGAATCGCCTCCAGAGTGTGAAATAGAGGGGTGATCCCCAAGAAACACTCACACAATGTCACAAAGACCATGAGGTGGACGATCACGTTCGTTGTTTGGGGTCAGGTCGTGAAGGCGGATCTCGTAGAAGTGGAGAAGTCCATAGAGGAAATGATGTGTAGGGATGCCGAAAATGCGTGCGGTGGAATAAGATGAAGGAGGCAACCAATGAATCTTTCGGCCTCGTCCTCCTCTCCCTCAAACCCGACAGCCGCCACTCAAGAATCTCCCTCCCTGTGAGCAACTTACATGACGTGAGGAGGTTCATCCCCCTTGCATCTGCTTTTGACTCCTTCCACACCACCATCTTTCCAAGGAACATGAAGCAAAAGGAGGTGAGGTGGCGGGAACGGCGATCGGTGACATGAGCAAACGACGAGAAGGCAAGAAGAAATAGGATTGCGGAAACAGGAAGACGGGAGTAACTCAGAGGAAGAAACTAACTCCCCTCTCCCCATCTTTATAGTTGAGGGCGGAAAATTGACGTGTAACTCACTGTATCTCATGCGGTGATGTGACAACCTCTCAGTGACGTGGTTAGTTTGACGCGCACATGAGGAACCCAAGGCGCTACACCCCTTGGCTTTTCCATGCTAGACAGATGACCCAGATCTCCGATTTGAAATGTCACACTTGTGAATGCGTGTGGATTGTATGCTGGCTAAATGCTGAGGTGGAGGAGAGAGAGAAGCCGATTGTAAGCTTGTAGTCGGCGTAGGCAGAAGAACTAAGAAAGTTTGTGAGAGGCACAAGTGGGTCATGTATTGATAGTGAAGAACTAACTACTATATGGGTGGACTGAGAGAAGGCTGCAAAGAATTTTACAGCCAACAACTGACTATATTATTAGCCTTGCTTTAAGGTGGGAACGTTCCGCGCAAAACCCAAAGCGTCGCACCCTCTCGACTCCCTCGCGCCTAACGTTTGGTGAGGATCGAGGGATTCGACGTGACGCACCCTCAGACAGTGCGGATCGACCCCGAAAGAGCGACTATCGCCGAATGGTGCAACAAGCGCTTCGATGGGCTTGAGGGCTCCTCTGATCCATGAAAATTTGGAGGTTCAAAGTCTAGTCGGCAGATGACACGTGGCCATCTCCAAACCAGGGAAATGAGTAATAGGTACGCCATGATGGGCCCACTATTGGTCCTAGCTTAGGCACGCGGAGCGCCAGACCATTGTTTGATGTGTAGTTTTGAGCCAATGAATCTGCCACCGAACCCCTCGACGGGGGCGGGCACTTGAGTGATGACTAAGCAATGAGCTAGTTGATCGGCCCATGACAAGTTGGGTAACTAGAACGCCTCACACAGGCCCAAGCCATACACACTCAAGGGATTGTTTGGGCCCTGCTCAAGCTTGGCTAGTTTGAGCTCACTGAAGACTTCACCCTAGCCTAGAAGTTGGGTTGACGTACCTCCCATCCACCGAATGATGTCGATCCAAAGCCAAAGGCCTCAACCTAGCCAAATGAATGGGCTTGATTCCTAAACCAGAATAAATCCTCTCGTGTCTTGAGTAGTTGAGTGCTAATCACCGAAGTTCCACACATAGACCACGAATCACTAGCCGTGGTTATGAATCCATGGCACTGGATGTCTATGGACAAACCAAGTTACCTCTATGGCCCAGAAACAAACTTTCATTCCATCTATGGCCTTCTGCCAAGTCCGTTAGGGTACTTTGTTAGTTTGTCCACTGGTGGATACGCGAAAAGACTAAATTACCCTTCTGTGTTTCTAAAGGGGCCGCCGCATCCAGATGACACCGAGCGAGGGACCGAGCGGGCGGATATCGCAATCGCAAAAAAAAGAAGACCGAGCAGGGCACTGTGATGCGAGACAGATGGGGGAGGGCACCACCGGCGCCACAGCCGGCCAAGGGTGTCCGCTGGGATGTCCTACCCCAAATCCACCTGATCCAGCTACGCCCGGACCCACTCCAACCATAGTCCACCATGGTGGAGGAGCCGCTGCTTGAGTCATGGAGCGCGCCCGCCAAGGGCTAGTCCACGCGGCACTAGGCGGCCCTGGTCGTGGACAGGCCGGCGTGGCCGCCACCTCCGACGAGGGTAGCCAGCGCGGCTCGGCAGTAGGCGGCCTCCCCTGCAGGCAGCTCAGAGAGTCCAGGAACTCCAGCGAGCACCGCCCAACACCTGCAGCACCTCCCAACATGGCTGGCCCATCCTGTAGCGAGGCATGCGTAGATTCGATTGGCCCCTCCCGCAGCTAGCAGGTGGAGGATGGGCTGGTCCAGCCCAAGCAGGGCACCGTCATCTCCGACCAAGATGGCGTCGACTCCAATGAAGATGATTGGCTACAAGAGTGAGTTCACATTTTTTTGTACTCCTAGAAGTAGTTATCGGTTTACTAAGTCCTAAAACGCTATTTTGATTTTGAATAACATGGATCCGAATTCCAGTTTCAAGCTGAAAATTAAATTGTTGGGCAAACGTAAGAAGTGTAGACAAGATATGAAATGTTTTAGCTTTGACATGGTTGTTGATTTAGACAAAATAAATTATGAGGACCTTGTTGAATTAGTGGTAGAGAAGTACCCGCCTGGTTATTTGGAAGTAGCTCATATTCAGTATTATGATGAAGGTCTAAAATCTTTCCCAGAAGTAAAAACCGACCAAGAGTTGATGTCTATGTTTGATAAACATTTGAAGAGAAAGGTTGTCATCATGTTTGTTGTATATCAAGGTCATTCCGATCCATATGAACCTATCACAGAGTGGGATTTTGGTGTGGGTACCCACCCTAAGGACAACATAGACAATGACAACATAGACAATGATGATGCTAATGAGGATGATTACCTTAGGAATCCTGAACCACAGAATGAACATGTAGGTGTTGATGAGGAAGCTATGTACTGTGATATTTGTAGCACCCAATGCTCTACAGGTGGTTCATAGCCCTATTAAAAAGTCCCATCCTATGTTGTTGATGATAATGAGGATGATAGTGAAGGTGGAGATGAGTCATAGGATGAGGAAGAGATGCCATGCAATGAGGAAAACTATGCTCCAAATGTAGAACATGATCCAAAAGATCCACCAATGGTAGTAGGCTCCACTTATGCTAATATGGAGACATTGAAAGCTCTAGTTTGATTTTGGTGAATTGATGAAACCCTAAGTGCTAACCTATTACTCTAGTGATTATAAGATAGGTAGCACATTCCAAGTGATGGAGCAAATGAAGAAGATCATGGTGATGGTGGAGTCCATGGAGATGATCAAGTGCTCGGGCTTAGAAAAGAAGAAAGAGAAAAACAAAATAGGCTCAAGGCAAAGGTGAATTTAATAGGGCCATTTTGTTTTGGTGATCAAGACACCTAGTGGGTGTGATCACATTTAGGATAGATAGTCATACTATTAAGAGGGGTGAAACTCATATTGAAATGCGGTTATCAATGTGCCACTAGGTGTTCTAACTCATTGCATATGCATTTAGATCTAGTGGAGTGCTAACACCCTTTAAAATGTTTGTGAAAACATGCTAACACATGTGCACAAGGTGTTACACTTGGTGGTTGGCATATTTGAGCAAGGGTGGAGAAGTTTGTGAAGTTGAGGGGTTGTTTTCCCACGACCGGACGCTGGACCAGACTCTGCACTGGTGCATCCGGTCAGTGGTTGTGAAGTGGCTCGGTCTCAGTCTGTTGACCGGACGCTGGAGCAAGGAGGTGACCGGACGCATAGCTTCTGGGTCTGGTCAGGGGATGACGTACGCTGACGTGTGCTTCTTCGCGAGACAGAGGACCACACTCGGGGCTACGTCCGATCACCTGTGAATGGACACGTTCGGTCGTTGTTTTTCCTCTCTAGATGCTTACTGGAAGTGACTTGATGCCGGGAGATCGCGGGAAGCGGTGGGTCCGGTCAGTACTTGGTGGCACGGGCACGCGCGCGGGCAGAACTAGCACCGGCGCGTCTGATCTTTTATTCGGCATGTCCAGTCATCACTTGTCTCGTTGGCGTGGATGGAATTGACCGTTGGAGATTGATGAACATGGTTTGAAGAGGGGGACACATGGACGGCATCCCATGACTAGACGATGGGGGTTGTGTGTCTGGTCAGTTAGACCAGTGCGTTCGGTCGCCCTGATTTCAGTGCTGACAGAGAACCAATGGCTCTATTCATTTGGGGGCTCTATAAAAGGTGCATGGCCGGCTCTAGCTGACCCTCTTGGCCATTTGCATTGACATAGCAACCTTGTGAGCTTAGCCAAGCCCTCCCACTCATCTCCATCATTGATTCATTATCTTTGTGAGATTGGAAGTGAATCCAAGTGCATTGCTTGAGTGATTGCATCTAGAGGCACTTGGTGATTATGTTTCGCTGCGAATTTTGCTTGTTTCTCTTGGTGGTTGCCGCCACCTAGACGGCTTGGTACAGCGATGATTGTCAAGCAGAGGAAGGTGATTGGATCTAGCTCTGATCATGGTGATTATGAGGGGTTCTTGACCTTTCCTCGATAGAGAGCCAAAATGTACTCTAGTGGAATGCTCATAGCTTGTGGATCCCCATCTTGTGTTGGTTGTGCGGCACCCGATTGCGGGTTATGCGTGTGATGCCTATTAGCGCGTGAACCTAGTTGACGATAGTTAACATTCATCACAAACCATCAATATACCTTGCATAAATGACTAAAATAGATCACCAACATGAACTTAGGGGTTTAAACTGACAAATTCCACGAGTTTTGGTGAATCTGTGTTTTCTACAGGATTTAATTAGAAAACCATCAAGGGGGACCTATTCGTCAATGGAAATCATGGAATTCTACCGTGGGATCAACGTGGGAAGGTTCCAGAAGACTCCAGGAGGCTCTCCACCGAGGGAGACCACATGTCTCTGACATGTGGGGCCGCCCGGCCCCACTGCTAGGCCACCGGCCCCTGTGGGACCCACCTGTCATCCTCTTTGTTATGTCGGTTCTCCACCGCCTCCTAGGATGCATCTCAGCCGTTATTTCAAGTTGGTTTGATCCAAGGGCTGAGGATTGACGCTGCGGCCTATATATATCTGCCTGCACCCCCTAGGACAGAGGCCTCATTTGATCCTGAGAGCTGAGAAGCCAGAAATCCTAATTCATATGTCCACCAGGATCAGGGCTAGAAATCAAGAGAAGGTTAGTCCTTATTCCTTAATAGGATCTTGTCTTGTATTAGAGATAGAGAGATAGAGTGAGAGGGAAGAGTTTCGGAGGAGTCCCGGCCTATCGGTGCTCTCTCTACGGCTTGTACCGTGGCGGAATCAAGTTCTTCTTGAGCTTGCTTCTGAGATTTCTCTGGTGATCGACTTCTAATTCAACTAAGCATCTTGTTCATATTGTTCTTCAGGTTTGCGACTCTCTTTGAGTACTTTAATCCTTATAGCTCGTGGGTTAAAGTAGTATTTGTAGTGTAAGCATTGTGCTTAGACTCGGTTACTCATGGATGTACCCTATTTTTTGGATCGGTGGTAGCTCGTGAGAGTGACTCTTATAGCCTCATTGAATCCTTTATAGTCCACCTCCCGTTAGTAGGCCTAGCAGGACCTTGTTACTATAGGAAATATACTCTGCATGTGTTTTCTCTAGTAATATCCCCATAATTAAACAATAGAAGACAAAGCTTTCTGAAGTTAGAACTAGAAGACCTTAGTAGTCTCCTCTACGCTCCTATTATCTAGCCTTGATTATGAAGTTGGGATAAGTTAAATTTGGTTATTCTCACACACGTTTCCTCGAGTTTGATATAAAACTAGGTACTCTCGGTGAAGTGCTACAACGGTATAATATCCGTGCGCTTGCGGATTATTTTGTGTGCATTAATTTATACCGACACGTATGATACGACACGAGTGGAGAAGGCCATAGTCAAGGTCCTTGATAGCCATGGCCACCCACATGAGTCACATGGGTGACGGAGCAGGGCAAACGGTGCGGACCATTTGATTCCCTGCCACATTTGAGGCGCATCTATAATGTGGGTGCATTGAGTGCTTTTGAGGGTGTCATTTTTGTGTAGTATTTTGGAGTGCCCTCATCAGCATTCCCCATGTACCCATAACATTATAAATCAATATAAGTATTGTACTACTACAGTGCTTCTTCCTTCTTCATTGTCACGCTGGCCTTCCTCCTCTCAGAGTAGTGTGATGTCACACTAACGTTGAATCACCGTATGAAACAACGACGGGAGCTGTAACACCACCATAACGTATTGTTCGTGCCAGAGAAATAAACCAATTTGGAAACACAACAAATTAAGATGGCACACTAGTTTAGCTGCAATAATGACAATATTCATCCTAGACAAAATTAACATGGCCATAGACAATCAAACAACACTGGACCATTTGGACATGTCGTGACACAGAGATACATGAAATGGAGCTTTATTCACTACTCCGCTAATGACTCCAAGAAAAAGAAAAAGGAAACATAAGGAAGAAAGTAAGGTCTGCTCATGAACCGTGCCAGGACTTTATGTCTACCATAGCTATGGTCAACACTAGCAGGGATGGCATGAACTTTTCTTCGGTCCATGTCATACGCGATGATTGTTCTTTCTGCCCCAACAAAGAAAATCAAATTCCATTATGGGTGACCTATAATTTCTGTGTAGGTTGAATCATAATCCATGTAACCAAATTGAATATTAGTCTTTCCAAACACCTTTATTGTGCTGACAGTATGCTTTAATGTCTATTTATTAGTAGCATAGTCTTCAAGGATCCAGACTGAAAGCTAGGACATATTGTGATCACTAACACCACCAACAGTACATACACACAAGTGACCTTGAGCTTGATGGGTGGAGGGTAGAGTACCACGAGGCCTAGAAATTTTCCTCCATATCTTCTTTCCCTCCATATCCACAACAAGTATTAGAGAGTACCTGTCGGCACAGAATTTCGTCCCATGTCGAGGGCACACGAGCAAGCCGGAAGGGTCCACTCGATGGAGCTGAAGATCCACCTAGCTTCAGCACAAGGGTGGTCGATCCTACGCACTCCTCCTAAGACGTGCCAGTCAATTTGACCCTGCAATTGACAAGGAGAGAAAGCTAATCAGTAATTTAAGGCGGAACATGCCGATGTTGCCAGACAGTTCCGAATGTGCAGCTCTGAGAGCCGATATGGAAGGAGATCGACTAAATAGTCGATTCCAGCATATTCATAAGAATAAATCAATTAAAGCTCATAGAGTTGTGGAAGAAAAAAATCGGTTATCATTCAGGATGAATATCGTTATTTGGACAAATATTAGTCAATGGCAATGGAATGTCAACAATAATTAATTTATACTAAGTCAATGACTGCAAGTATCTGAATCCCCTTTATATGAAGAATAAGCAGCTCATCATCATTTAACCATTTAATAAAGATAAATCTAATGAATATATTAGATCTCATCTACCGCTATGACCAGTGGGGCATGAGGCAGAATCATGCAGACCATAGAAACAACAATAGATTTGACGACCCTAACTTATTACTAATATCAGTAGGGCATGAGGCAGAATCATGCAGGCCGTAATACAATAATAAGATCAGGGGGCTAACACATCTTTCAACCTATCTCTACTTCAACGGTCTCGTGACGCGAACTGCATATGTGAAAGCACTCGATATCGGCTAAAACAGCCGATTCAGGCATAGCGCACAGTTAAGGTCATGCCCTATCAGAAACAGATCTACCAAGTAACGATCCCCACTCCATGGTGCTAACAGTGGGGTATGAGGCAAAATCACACAGGCCATGATAATGGGCCATGGAATGGTTTTCATTAGCCAATAGATCTATTGAAGACCAAACACGCCTTAACCGCACACTATGCACGATAAAGATTGATGTAAAATAGCCGATAAAACATAACTCATCATTTAAGATGCATATTAGATCAGTTTAGATTAACAAACG